GTTTATATTTTCAATGATTTTAAATATTTGTTGTATAATATAACCAATATTATGGTTCTTGTATTAATTATTATTTTAAATTAAACCCAACGTTGCCACACACAAAAAATTTAGAGACTATTATTATTTTTAAAAAATAGGATCTAATATTTTAAAGTTTAGTTTGACATCTAATTTGTTGTAACTACTTAAAAAAAATATTTATATTAAATGATTTTTAATATGTTAATATTGATAAAAAAAAAAAAAAAAAAAAAAAAAAAAAAGATTAATTAATTTTAATTAAACCAGTCTTTGCTTAAAGCAGTTAAAAAAATAATTTTACTAAAAAAAAAAAAAAAAAAAAAAAAAAAAAAAAAAAAAAAAAAATATTAATATATAAAAAAAAATGCAGAATATATAGACTTACTATCCCTAACTAACTTAAGCCAAACAATAATATTCTTTGCTAATAATCAAAACTTAATACCAAAAATATGGCAACAGCGCCCTTCATAATGTATTTTCTGTGAAAATACTAGCACCTCAATTAAAAAAAATTAATGTGTATTTATAAATACATAAAAAAAAAAAAATTTCAAAAGATGACCGGCTTCTTTCATAGCATTTGCCACCGACCGCTGTCAAGTTTCTCGGAAAGAAAACCCTACGTCCGCCGGGCCGAAGACTAAAATTCAGTGGTGGTGGGGTTAATATTTTTATTTTTTACTATTTTTTTTTTTTTTTTTATTTTAGAATTTCAAAAAATAATTGAATGAATTTTAATCAACGATGAATTTGGTTTTTTGCTGCCGAATTACTACAATACAATATTTCAGAGGCAGATGAGCTGATCTATCGACAAATTTTTTTATTCGAATAGTATTTTCAACGAATGTTTTTCTACTAGCTATCGAATTATTCCAATGAATTACAACTATCGAATGAGTGATTTTCGATAGTATTTTCATTCGATGATTCCCACTACTATGGGGTGTTAAAACTTATTTTTTATTTTTTTTTTTTTTTTTTTAAAATAAAATTATTACACCTTTTCTGTTTGATTGACGTCTAGGAGCTTGACCTCCGTCAAACTGGTTCATCTCAATTGTCGTTTTCCAGCCGTCTTTGACGGCGTTTTTTTTTCTCGATCGCATGGTACCTATCCTAAAGCAAAGCATTGAAAACAAAACTTGTCTAAAAAGTTTGGTGCAGTCCCAGCGGTGAAAGTTTGTCCACTGAGAATACCTGCATTGAAACTTTCTTTATGTGGTTGCTTTATTGTAGAAATTTCAAAACTTGGATGGCTAAAGATGTTATTATTGCTAGATTGCTAAGTATAAAAATATAATACTATAGTTAAATTCACGCTTTTTCTAATGCTGTTCCTTGTAGACAACAAAGTCTTAGGATTTATATTCACAATTGGTAACGATCGTACATCTTACCAAAACCCTTCCGAAACGTTATGTAAAATTTCAGAAATTTATTCTACAATACTATCAAGTTGTGATATTTATGTATTAACATAATTTGCTAACTTATGAGACGCATTTTCTCTATAAGGAATACATTTTAACGAAGCTAATGATGTTATTGAGATCTTTAGAAATTAGCTGTAGATATTGTTTAACCTCTTGTAGATACAAAACAAAGCAGAACCGGGGCAATGATGATATAAAAAATAAATCTTATTTACGTGAGGAATCTCGTGAGATGGTACATGTTTTTTGAAACACCCTTTATACTAACATAGCAAATCTCGTTTTTGGGTAAAAAAATAAAAAAGTTATAAGGGTGTGCCACTTTTGAGAAACACCCTGTAGATACATATTAATTGTAGTATTTTGGAATGAAAATTTTATGACAAATCCACTGAGAAAAAAATACAATACATATTTAAAATAAAAAAACATCAGCTTAATTTTAAAAATATATTTGAATAAACATGTATACCCGTGGAATGTTTAAAATGTGCAATGACATTGCCCGTTGCCCGTTTAATTTACAAAAAGTGACAAGAAAGCTAATTTGGACGTTTTTCGGAACACTGAACCATTATGTAGATAGTTATCGATATGTTTTCAAAGCCCTAATACAATTATTTAAAAAAATATATCTTTTAAAATAGCAATAAAATCCACTAAGAATGAGGAAACAATTAAATTAATTACCTACATAAAATATTATAAATAATTAGACAATAACAGGATTTTTTTTCTAAATATTGCAAAGATCTTACCAGTAATATAATAAAAGCCTCCAGATATAGAGCTGACCAGAGCGACATCGGTGACTTTGCACTTGAACTCTTTACTGATATCGTCCAAAAATATCCCGAAGCAGTACGCCGATCCGTCTGCGCAGAACAAACACACTAAACCGGCTAAAACTATACACCATCCCCATCCTCCGTCTGGAGGTATTACCACTATGGCACCCTCAAACTCCTCTGGATTGAATGATGATTTTGTCAGTCGCAATTTGAGATTGGATGGTACTCTGGATATTTTCGAATGGAGGGAAATCCTTGTCGACATTTTGACGTTGTCAAATGTGACTCAAGTCATTGTCAGTTAGAGTGCTTTTTTATAAAGCTTTGATGAAAAGAAATAAATGATAAACAAGTGTCTTTAATTGTTTGTCATTTAATGTTAAGTTATAAAACTTTGTATACCGGGTGGTGCATGGTCGTTGGAAACATAGGAAATCCCTTGTAAATTTTGAACTGTCCAAATATTGGCTCCCCTGTTAATTTTACAGCAAATTTGTAAATAGTTTTTTTAAAGCTCTGCGTATGCTGAATGCACGTGCCAACTGTGAACAATTTTGGACAAGCCGCTTTTAAGTAATTTAAGAAAAACTGCATCTATTTAAAGTAAAACTGCACAGGTAACAATGCAAAACGAGGTAAATGCCAACATACCTTGATTTTGCCATGTTGTTATCTCATGATTTGGTCAATGTCGAATTGTACCGTATGATCGAAAGAAAAACGGCGTCCAGTTGGCTGGGAAATGACGATCGATGGCACTTCCCATATAAATTTACATATAAAATGACAGAGATTTTCATTTCATAGCCATCGCTCTGTATTTCACGCAGTTCAAATGTTGACGCATTGAAATAATATTAAAATCGCGGCTTGGTCAATATTTAAGTATTTTAGTTTTTAATAGTGCAGTTGTTGAAACTCTAAAACACTCAGACGAGGTTTGTGTGATGTAACGCTGTTTCGGGTAGTAAAAATTAAGTGAAAAATAACCCGAACTAGGTATCACATTGTGTTATAAAAATTTCAAATAATGTTAATAAAATTGGCAAAAAAATGTTGTGCTAATTATTAAAATTATTTTTTCCAATATGTTCCAAATATGTTTCAGAAAATAAAAAACAAAAAGAAGAAAAACATAGTAACAAGCCAAGGCATGAAACCAGGCACAGAGCCTTAGTTATGGTAAATTCAATGTTCTTTTTTTATATTTGGCACATTTTAATTATTTTGATATAGGGTTGCCCGGTGGCGTAGAGGGTACAGAGATTGGGTCAAATTCGACGCTTTTTAGATGAAACACCCTTTTCTATATAGGAGATAGACAAAACTAATAGACTCAATTTTGTCAAAACAGTGTTGAAAACCGCATATCGTTATCTGTTACCGTTTATGGGTTACGGGGTGTTTTTCAAAAATATGCGCTTTTAACAAATCGCTGTAACTTTTTGTTATAGGAAATTTGCTTTTATGAAAACATTTCAAAGCACCTTTTATGTAAATTTAATGGTTTAAGTATATTTCTTTAAAATTAATAATTTAAATTATCAACAGAAAATGTGATTTTTATATGGGACACCTATATATTTTTAATTAATTGAAAATAATTTAAATTTACCTTTCAAAAATATTTTTTTTTTCTTTGTTTTGTTATATTCCTCTTCGAGATAGATAGAGTATATAAAAATTCCTTGCTTTAAATGGGTAGGCTTTGAACGGCACAATGCAAAAAAAAAATAAAAAAAAAAAAAAAATAAAGGAAAAAAAAGAAGAGAGCATCTCAATCTAAAAAGTTTATTAGTTGAGTACTAATTATAAAATTAAGAAGCCTTCATAAATATATCAATATTTATTCATTTTTCTTATTTTTTAAATTTTCACAAAATTTACTTCCTAAGGCGACTATTAGGGAATGAACAAATTATTTTGTGTATATGCGCGAGTAATATCGTGATAGTGGTGTTGGTCCACTGTTTATTCATGTAGCTATAGTGTCTGTCCTCCAATTCGCGAATTTCAAGTTCCAGAGCTTTACGCACTGGGCTACTCAGAACGGTTCTGAAGGGAGCTGTGCGCGATAGCCTGGCGCTTCCATATGGCGCGGAACAGTTCTGAATTTTACTCGTGAGAGTATCGCCGTTCTTGAACAGCCGGTTAAGTCACGCTGCACACAACTGCGTGCACATGGAGGATAAGTAAATGGTGCACAGGGCTGTGGGTAGCCAGCAAGGAGGGTAAAGAGAAATAGTTTTGCACCAAAGCCTTAGGCACAGATCTTCGTAAATAGACCTTTTTTAATAAATAAGTGACAACATAGCATTTTTCTGTTTATATTTTGTTTGTATATCTTGTGTACCTTCTTTTTGTATAGTAAGATTATCTATTTTCTCTGTGGTAAAATCTATATCCTAATATATCTAGTTTATTTCAGTAAATCTTATTTGAAATAAATATTAAATAAAATTTATTTAATTCGGATAAGTTCTTATTTATCATAAAAGCTAATGCTAATGCTAATTTTTTATATACCTAAGTTTTTAATACAATAAATATTTTTATTAAATCTAAACAAAAACAAGCAGATACATTTCTGAAAAAAAAAATCCAAATCCAAAATCCTACACCAGTTTACTAAAGTCAATACAAATTCAGTGTAAATTGATACAATTTATATATGGTTAATAAATATTAGCAGAAGAGAATATACTATTTATTTTTATTTTTTTTTCCAGATGTAGTAACATATTTTGCAGTCTGTCATTTATTTAATCCCCACCAGGCTGACCGTATACGACAGCAGGAGGCAGTAATTTTTTTTGTATTACTCCGAGGTGCCCAGTTTTGCAGTATGGGAATAAATAAATGACAATTTCTATCACATTTTCATACATATGTAAAAACCGGCAACACTGTAACCGGCCCCCTTTTATTTTGTGTCCCTCTCTGTCAACCGGTCAATTGTATCAATTATCCGTGCTTTCATTTTTCTGGCACTAAAATACAGACCACAGAGGACAGCATGAACTGCCTAGGAATGGGTGTAACCTACTCTGGTCATTTTAGCAAGTGTGGGTCTGGATTTTAGAGCGTGTCCAGACAGAGAATAATATATAATGTCAGTGAACAGACAGAGAGACAAAATCAAAGCGGCATACAGTGTTGCCGGTTTTTATCGTAGTGCCAGTTTTTTTTTGTAAAAAAAAAAAAAAAAAAAAAAAAAAAAAAAAAAACTATCTAAAAACTTTCATTAATATATAAATTACATCTGTAGTAAAATTATCTCTAACTGGTGAAAAATAAAGGTCCAACCCTAGATGCAACATTTTCCATAAACGCTTACTTGTGCGGCCTTGAATAACTACGGAAAATTTCTCTCCAGGTTTGCTGACTGTGAAAATAAGCACCAATCTTCATCCTGCCTCCTGGACTATTATATCAAGTAGTGTCTGAGCTTTATCAATTATGACGTAATATATTGGAATACTTACATATCGCCAATCCAAATACGACTGTGTAGAAGAACTGGTACTCTTGCGACAAAGACAGTCCACTAAAAATGGTAGCTATTCCTCCCAGCGTCAAAGCAGCGTTCGTCACAAATAACGCGTTAACACCAGGAAACGAACTAAGAAGTCCACACAACACCCTTCCAATCGTGTTAGCTATACCGATGGAAGACACCAGCAGCACAGCCGTCTGCTTGGGCATATGCCCCGTCGCCCTGTCCACCAAGTACATGAAAGGCACGTAGAAACCCATCATGGTAAAGAAACCTCCCACAGATAGGATTATGAAGGAGGGACTTTTTAACAGGCTGAAATCTAACATGGTCGTGAGCGCTCTTATTACAGCTTCTGGACAGCATTTGCACGAATTCGCTTTTTCCTCCAATATGTCGTTTTTAGTGGGTAACCTAGTCACCGACAAATTATAAGCTATGGAGCCCTGCGAGGTGTACTGAGGCAACCTCGTCAAGCTCTGTCCAACAAAGAAATATCCCTTCTGACTCACACTAGGTCTATTGATTGTCACGCTTGCTCGAAAGTAGAATTGAATGTCTAGACGGGTCAGGTTCGGTTTGGATAGACCTCTGGTTAAAATTGACTTGTCCGATTTTAGTTTGTCGTTGTGCGTGATGAAGGGGACGCTCAACCTTTTTTCTTTCAGGTATTCGGAGTTGATGCTGGATGGGGCGTGAATGGTGTGATAGACGTCGTACATTTTGTCCTGATCGGAATTGTTGTTAAGTTTGTTTATATGTTCATTTTCGTTTCGACGGTTTCCTCATTTTTGCTTTCTGGGTGATGAGAGTTTCGCTGGGGTTTGAGAACAATTCTTCGCCCCAATTCGATCGATTTGAGTGTTGTGTCTGTAAATGGCCTAAAATATAAACGGAGTCATTAGTATCTAGTATCTGCATTGGAAAAATGGTATGTAAATAAAAATCTTTATGCGGAAAGTTTTCCGATTATTCTTTCGTTTGACATTTTTTGTAACGATATCTTTTTCAACAATTTGAAACCATGTTACTACCGTCAAACCAGGGTAAAAGTAGGATGAGGACGATTGTTCTTTAGTTGCATTTTTTAATAAGAAACAAAAAAAGCTTGTTAAGGTGATTCGATTCACAGAAGACTTAGAAATTTTCTGAAAACGGCATTTAATTGGCCGAGGTTAAAAATATAAAACTACCGACTTACGTCCGCAACAGATACAATAGTTCTGGAGATATTGTCATTTAAAATAAACGTTTTTTTTTTATTTTCAATTTTTTTTACAATAAATCCCGCAAAGTAATCAAGATACCGGGGTTTTCTTCATAAGTGTTTGTCAACTCCTAATTACGCACACTTTTTGTCCCATTTATAACAGAATTCGAATCTTTTCGTAGTTTCACAGGATCCAATGTTGAGCAATCGAAATTGTCACCACCCTATAATTTTTTTATTTTTTAGATATCTCTAAGTTCTAGGAGTAAGAAAATATATTTTCATAATAGAGCACTAGATGTATGTTGGTGGCTTCTTAAATAAAAACTGTTTTTATAAGAGGAACAACTTTTTATTAAAGAACTAACGAAATACAGATAGCAAATAGATTAGTTTGGTTTGGTTTGATACACCTATTTGTAGTTAACTTTTTGAAATGTTTATAAACATGCAGCGTTCAATGCAGAATTTAGTCGTATTTTAGTTACCCTTTAATAGCAAGTAGTAGAGATAACTTTATTTTTGAAAATGACGAACATTACACAACATTACACAATGTGAAAATATGAGGAATGTACCAAAGTTATGCTGCAGTCACAAATATACCCCAGTTTACGGTACTACTACTAAACCGATTCTTATAAAACATTCTACTGATATTTACAAATTGAGTTTTCATGCCATTTCAACGTTATAAACATTTCAACCATTCACAACTCTTTGTCAAATGTCTTACCTAAAAAGTACTCCATAGATGAGACAGCTCAAAACAAGGACGGATTGGATGAGAAGTGCGTTTCTCCATCCCAAAGATACGATCAGTGCTTCGCTTAGTGGGGCGAAGACGAAGGTTCCTATTCCTGAACCACAAACGGCTATTCCCGTTGCTAGAGCTCTCCATCGTTCGAAATAGAAGCCCACTGTTATAACGGATGGTACGTAGATGAATCCGAAACCTATCCCTAGAACGATAGAAAACAAAAAAGTTTAGCATGATGCTGATAGAAAATGTATCTAGTAGTTTTTATAAAAAATATATAATATAAATTTTAATAAAGTGTTCCTTAACATTATACACGCTCGAATAAGAAGCAAATGCGAAAATTATTTAGACTGACGCAGTTCGCTTTTAGATATGCCCTAGGTACCAGGGAAGCAATGTTTTAGAATTAGAATTAGAATGAGTGGGAGGGGGGTTAATCACTGCGACCTTACAGATCTATTGTGTCCCCCTTTCTTGAGTTATAACTCATCATACAGTCCCAGGGCTTTGACAAAAGCCAGTATCTGGGACGGTTTTATAGAGGGTCGATCTCCATCTCCAATATCAGTCGTACCAAAGTTCATGGCACGAATGGTTGTCGTCTCGGCGCACTCAGTGATGAGGTGTACTGGTGTTTCCCCATTTTTCCTACAGAATCTGCATTCGCCGTTTCTTCTTAGTTTCAATCTACTGAGGTGTTCATTGAGGAGACAGTGTCCTGTTAAAAATCCCGTGACAATCCGAAGATTGTTCTTACTTAAATCCAGGAAGATCTTTGATTTTTCTTGATCGTAAGCCCTCAGAAACTTCTTCGAGTGTCTTAGACCGTTGCAAAATTCCCATTCCAGGTTGCGGATGGAGTCTTCTAAGTTCTTGAGTTCCGCCTTGAGTTGGTTACCACTTGGAAAGCAGAACGGTTCTGGTCCAGTTCAGAGAAGCAATGTTTGCTCTGAATGTTCTTCTCCAAAAGTGTCGCCACCAACGTAAGGATGTTTTCGTGTGTGCCATTGATTATGAAAAAGCCTTTGACAGGGTGCAACACGAAAAGCTTATAAATATATTGAGAGACACTTGAGTTGATGGAAAAGACTTACGCATAATTAAGAATCGGATGTACCGGCGACAGAAAGCAGTCGTTCGAGTCAATGAAAGATTTACAGATGAACGTCAAATCCAACGAGGCGTTCGACAAGGATGTGTCCTGTCTCCGTTGTTGTTCAACCTATTTTCTGGCAAAGTTTTTAAAGAGGCTTTATATGAAAAAGAATGTTCCTAAGACAAAGTTCATGGTCTTTAGTCGTCAGCCATACCTCAACGCGTCACTACAGATAAATGGACAAAACGTCGAGATAGTATCCAATTTTAAATACTTTGGATGCTACATCACCGAGCAACTTGACCCGGATAGGGAAATTAGATGCAGGATTGAATCAACCCGTGCAATATCCCAGAAGATGAGATCACTGTTTTGTACTATTAGTCTGAACTTAAAGCTGAGACAAAGAATGATTAAATGTTACATCTGGTCTGTGCTGTTATACGGACCTGAAATCTGGACACTGAAAGCTTCCACAATTAACCGCCTGGAAGCATTTGAAATGTGGTTACATCGACGAAGAATACCATGGGTGGCTATGCAAAGAAACGAAGCAGTTTTAAACAGGACAAATGCAGTCCGTGAATTTTTGACAACAGTTAAATGCCGAAAGCTGTCATACTTCGGCCAAGTTCTTAGAGGAAATCGTTACCGATTGTACAACTTATAATGAGGGCAAAATAGAGGGCCGCAAAAGAGTAGGAAGAAAACAAAAACTCCTCGTTGAGAAACATCCGGGAATGGACAGACATACATAGCGCCGAACAATAATTGTTTATAGTCGCTGAAAATAGGGATCAACTCGCCATCGTGATTGCCAACGTCATGAGTCTCTAATATCGTAAGATAGAATTACAATATTACTATATATTTTGGAAATGTTTTGTTTTCCGAAAGAGTGAGCAATAAGTGTAGTTGGATCAAATACACTTGGACGCTGCCCATTTGCGACGCGTTTCGTTGGATTGTACCAACTGATTTAAAATCGGTTGATACGACCTTCAAAAATATGAAAAACTATGAAAAATTTTCAAAAATGTTAAAAACTTTATTCAAACTATTATAGAATTTATTTGAAATTTGCTGTGATAATGATGATGCTGATTAAAAAAAGATAGTCTCGTCATGGAGTTGATCTTTATAAGAAGAGCTTACTTTTCAATATCAATTTAGAGTTATTTGTCATCTGGTATTAACTCTCAGACTACGCTATATTATATCACCTCGTCTTAAAAATACGCTGCCAAGAAATTGTTCTTTAATGCGTCTATTACATAAAGATTGAATGAAAAAATTCCAACACGATTATAGAACTTGATATTAAGTTGTGAACCATTGATAAACTTTTAACATTTCTACAACTGCATATATTCTCAGCAGTTTGGACAAATCTCAGTCAATAATAATTGAATTAAAAAAAATATACACCAATCTTTCATGATATTTACTAAAAGTTACTTTTTGAAAATTTTGACACCTTAAAATTTTCTTGTATTTTAAACTTCAATAATTCATTAACTTCAATACATTTCTTGTTCTGGTGGGCCGATTTTGATAATTTTTTAAGCAAAATGCCATTTTCTACAGTAAATTTTTTATCAACGCCACCCAATTATTTTTCTTTCGTATTTTACCGTTGAAAATGTCATATGAAATAATACTGCGGTATCTGCGAAACCATTAAACATTTTGAAATACTTTAAATACAAAATTTTTTTAACTTTCCGTTTAATAAAAAAATAATATACAGGGTGTTCCATTTAAAAAAAAACCAAAGAAAGTTTTTTATATTAACACCCTGTATGATTCAAGATTGCGATATATATAGCAAAGTAAGTATGAACCATTCATTAATCATTCTATGGTATGAACCATCTAACCAGTTTGGTTTTTGTAAATATCTCTGAAATTATCGAAATATATTTACTCATAACTTAGAATTACGTAAAGTGACCTGAAAGGAAGCCAAAAATGCAATAATATACAGAGTGTTTTATTTAAAAAACTCATCTTGATCAACTCACACTTTTTTGTGTCACTCTATACAGGGTTGTTCACCACATACGACACGGAGTATTGTAGCTAAACGATGAGTTTTTTACAAATTGTAAGTTTTGGGTTCGATGAAGGACTATTAGAGGTACAATTTAAAAATAATTTTACAATATAGTGTCCCAAATAAGTAAAAAATATCAAAGTTGTATTTTTTTAAAGGGAACACCCTGTATATTATTTCATTTTTAGTTTCTATGATTAAAATAAAGGTAAATCTGATTAAGGTTTATTATACTTAAACCTTACCGTTTTTGAAATATTTTCAATTTTGTGAAATTGCAGTAAAAATTTTAAGGCTTCATTTCTCCAAGGGTATCAAAGTTTTTAATACTAAATATTTACTGAAGTTTATTTATTGATCAGTTATTTTGTTGCAATAATAAAAATAATACTACCTTATACAGAGTGCCTAAAAATGTATTTTAAATAATTATTAGCTTCAAACGGCAATAACTTGTTTAATTTGTTGTTTAATTGTTTAATTTAAACGGAATACCTTGTATATTTTACGAGAATCAGATGCACAATTTAATTGTCTATCAAATTATATTATACCATTTTTTACCTATCTCTTTAAGTTTCCGTAGAAAATGCATTTTCTTATAATTTAGAACTTATTTATCAATATACCCATGGAATATTGACATTTTAGATTATTTTTAAAGATGTACCAAATTTTTAAAGAGTGCAGATACTAATATTGTCGATATAATTTGTTTATTTTATTAAAAAATAAAAAAACTGTTTAAATATTTGTTAAAGGGGACCAATTAATATGATTCCAGTATTCAAACTACATTAACTGACTGTTTGCGTTGATTAATAATAATTGCTCCAAATACTAAAAAACTGAATTTTGTATGGGTATTAGACAGTATGATTAAAAGAAACACCTTAAAAATGATATTTCATTTTTTAATAAATACTCATTTATAACAACAGAGACTTTAATTTTGATAACTTATTATTATATTGATTTCTGACTCAAATCCACATTTATTTAGAATAATTTATTAACGAACACAATTAAGTATGTAATTAATTAGTATATGGGCGGAAATAATGGTGTTATATTTAATTAATGGTATACTCTTTTATAAAGATTTAAATAGTTTTCTTTTTGCATACAAATGGGCTAGTAATATTATCGTTTTGCTAAAAACGATAATATTACTAGCCTGTACATTTTGTACATTTGTTGCTTTAAAAACAATCTAAAATGTCAATATTCCATGGGTATATTGATAAATAGGGTCTAAATTATAAGAAAATGCATTTTCTACGAAAACTTGAAGGGATAGGTAGAAAATGGTATAATACAATTTGATAGACAATTAAATTGTGCATCTGATTCTCCTAAAATATACAGGGCGTTCTATTTAAATTAAAGAAGTTATTGGCGTTTAAAGCTATAAATTATTTAAAATAAATTTTTAGACACTCTGTATAAGGTAGTATTATTTTTATTATTGCAACACAATAACTGATCAATAAATAAACTTCAGTAAATATTTAGTATTAAAACTTTGATACCCTTGGAGAAAAAGAAGCCTTGAAATTTTACTGCAATTTCCCAAAATTGAAAATATTTCAAAACGGTAAGGTTTAAGTATAATAAACCTTAATCAAATTTACCTTTATTTTAATCGTAGAAACTAAAATGTAATAATATACAGGGTGTTCCATTTAAAAAAATACAACTTTGATATTTTTTACTTATTTGGGACACTCTGTATCTTGTCAAATTATTTTTAAATTGTACCTCTAATAGTCCTTCATCGAACCCAAAACTTGAAATTTGTAAAAATATAATCGTTTAGCTACAATACTCCGTGTCGTATGTGGTGAACAACTCTGGAAGTTAAAAATTTTTCCTGAAATACATCCTCATACATACTTTAGGTTTGCACAAATTCTCAAGTTTTTTATTCTAGGAGCTACAGATGCCCGAGGCACTATTGCCGGATTTGCCGGACCCTGTATATAAAAATGTTTTAACTTTCATTCATATAATGCTCTAGGGAAACTTTGATCCCGTAGTTCAGAAC